GCATTACAGTTATTTTTAAAACAAAAGAATCCATTGTTTTCTGCAGAAACAAATTTAAACATTTGGTTAATAAAGTATTCATACATAAATAGGTAAAACGCACACTATGGAAGGTGTTATTGGAGATCCAAATAAACAGGGTATTATTCCCAGAATTGTTAATGATATTTTCAATCATATTTATGGTATGGAAGAAAATTTGGAATTTCATATCAAAGTATCATATTTTGAAATTTACATGGATAAAATCAGAGATCTTCTGGATGGTAAGAATCTTAGTTTACTTTGTTTATATACTTACCATAGTATATTTTACGATAAATAATTATAATTCAATTCTTTGCATTTTCAGTGTCCAAGGTAAATTTAAGTGTACATGAAGACAAAAACCGAGTTCCATTTGTGAAAGGTGCAACAGAGCGCTTTGTATCTAGTCCTGAAGAAGTGTTTGAAGTTATAGAGGAAGGAAAATCGAATAGGCATATTGCTGTGACTAATATGAATGAGCACAGCTCACGTTCCCATTCTGTATTCTTAATAAATGTGAAACAAGAAAATCTAGAAAATCAAAAAAAACTTTCTGGAAAATTATATCTTGTGGATTTGGCTGGATCAGAAAAAGTGAGCTACATTTATTTCATTAAATTTTTTGAATCATTTTACTTTTACTTTTTAATACTGTATATACTTTTAATTTTTCATTATGTTTCAGGTTTCTAAAACAGGAGCAGAAGGCACTGTGCTTGATGAAGCAAAAAATATTAATAAATCTCTATCAGCGCTTGGCAATGTAATTTCAGCTTTAGCTGACGGAAATAAAACTCACATTCCTTATCGTGATTCAAAGTTGACTAGAATTTTACAAGAATCTCTTGGTGGTAATGCTAGAACTACAATTATTATTTGTTGTTCGCCGGCTAGTTTCAATGAATCTGAAACAAAATCAACCTTGGATTTCGGTAATTTCTAAAGTTTTAATTCTTCCTTAACGATGTGTATGCGGTTCTTTGTCATTTTATTTATTTCATCAGGTAAACGTGCTAAAACTATAAAGAATGTCGTATGCGTTAATGAGGAATTAACGGCTGAAGAGTGGAAGCGTCGTTATGAGAAAGAGAAAGAAAAGGCAGCTAGATTGAAAGGAAAAGTTGAAAAACTGGAGGCGGAATTATCGCGTTGGCGGCAAGGTGAAACAGTTAAACCCGAAGAACAAGTTAATTTGGTTGAAGGAATAGATGTTACAACGCCAATTAATTTGTCTATTGAAGGTATAAATATAAATTGTATCAAAATAAAAATATTGTATTAAGCATTATACAAACAATAATATTTATTTAGGTAAACTTGATGATGGTCCAATGCCAGCCACTCCTGGTGGCAGTTTGATGGCTGGTTCTTTATCTAATGAAGAAAGACAAAAACTTGAAGAGGAACGTGAAAGACTTTACCAACAATTAGATGATAAAGATGAAGAAATTAATCAGCAATCGCAATATGTTGAGAACTTGAAAGAACAAATAGACGAACAAGCAGAATTAATTGCCACTGCAAGACGCGAATATGAACTACTTCAACAGGAAATGAACCGAATACAACAAGAACATGAAAACGCTAAGGACGAAGTCAAGGAAGTTTTACAAGCACTGGAAGAGCTGGCAGTTAATTATGATCAGAAATCTCAAGAGGTATCTTTGTGTTTTTTATATCGTTTTTAGTGAAAAATATAAGAAAGTTATGCATATTTCTATTTGCAGGTTGAGGTGAAGAATAAAGAACAAGAAAGGTTGGCAGAAGAACTTTTAGAAAAACAAACAACATTGAACAATACTGCTATAGAATTACAACAATTGCGAGATATGTCCACTCATCAGAAGAAACGTATTGCAGAAATGTTAGCAAATTTCTTAAAAGATTTGGGCGAAATTGGAGTTGCTATTGGTGGCGACGAAAATCTGAATGTAAGATCTAATTTATTAAATCATTTGAAATATATTTGCAGTGCTGCTATATAAAATATCAAAAATTTGGTACTATTTAGGTTGTACCTATGGAAAGTAATGGTAAACTTGAAGAAGAATTTACAGTGGCAAGGCTTTTCATTAGCAAAATGAAATCAGAGGTGAAGAATTTAGTACAACGTTGCCAAGGATTAGAAAGTTTCCAAGTAGACTGTAACAAGAAAGTAAGCGTTCGATTTCGTACTTTTTGAATTCATTATATTTAATTTATACATTGTAATGCTTATTCATACATTTTATTTTAGGTTGCAGAATATGAAAAGGATCTAGCTGAATGTCGTCTATTAATTTCTCAACTTGAAGCTCGTATGCAAACATTGACGGAATCAATGAAAGTAGCAGAAACACGTAAACGCGCTTTGGAAGAAGATGTTGATGCTTTGCGCGAGGAATGTGCCAAGTTGAAGGCTGCAGAACAAGTACAGGCAGTTACAAATAAAGAAAAAGCAGAAGAGAAAGAAGCAGCAACAAAGATGAGAGTGGCACTGGAAGAACAAATGGATCAGTTGCGAGATGCTCATCAGAAACAAGTAATATTACAGATATATTAAGACATTATACATTATATATTGTTATATATTATTAATTGATTGAATTCGTTAATTGAATATTATGATAGGTCGCTGCACTTAGGGACGAGTTGTCTGAAAAGCAAGAATTGATCAGTGAACTTAAACATTTGAATCAAAAGTTCACATTAGCTTATCAACAAATGCAAGCCGATTATGAACGATTGAAGATAAAAGAAGCAAATAAATCTGTTAAATTACAAGAATTAATGTTACTTAATGAACGCCGTACACAAGTATGTATAAATTTAATAATAAAAAAAAAGGAGCATTTACAAATTAAAATCTTAACGATCATTAATCTACTTTTTATAGGCTCGAAAAGA